GTCGGAGGGTGATCTACCTCGTGGTGGTGTTGGTTTTAGCACAACACCGACAGAAAGTGACTTTCACTTAGACAAGCCTTGGGTCACCGGAAAAATTACACAATGACTAAGTTCTTTCTTCACGCTTAACGCTGGAATGACGCACATCGATCTTTTCTCACTAATGCTCTGATACCATGTGAGAAGGCACGGGAGAAAATATGTTATTGATATTGGATGATAAATACAATACAAGAGGTCCCTATTTATAGCTATACACTACAAGGAGATATTACTCCTATTCCAATGTGGGACAAGACTACACTATACATATCTATAAACTAACACTCATGATGTTAACAAACCCCAGTTAACATGGTAATATGCTTCCTTAAAATCAAGTGCACCTGAAATTCCAGGATCCTCTCCTTCCAATCTGAAGTCAATCTACTCATTCAAAATCAAAGGGGCATCAAGATATTGCTTCAAGAGTCTTAAGACATTATGACACAATGATGTTGCATGTTCTCTGCAAAAGCACAAGGTGTTTTGGTTAATGGTGGTGCTTGACTTCTTTCACATGTAGGACTGTTCAATGTTGAATAAACAGCTGGTTGCTATATTCCCTACAGCTGTTTATGCTCTCTGTACTGGTGGTACACCATTGCTAGATAAAGGACTTTCCCCGTCACACTATGTTCCTGAAACTCTGAATGATGTGAAGGTATATATTGTTGTTTTTGCATAACTTTATGCTTATACCTATTCTCTCTCTCATGAATACTGTTAAGTTGACTAAGATGCTGAAATGCCCATTGTTGTAGGTCGAAGATCATACACATGAAAGTGAGCATGAATTTTTTGAATGCTCCGTTGAAGTTCTTGCAAGAATTGGACATGAATCTGATCTGGAGGTGCTACACTCTTTTATTGTGTTTTCATCTCTTTGTGGTCAAAATATTTCATTTCTACCGTCTTTTAACTGGTTTCAGGACGTTCAATCACCTAGTTGCCAAAGCATACGTCTTCCCCGGCAGATCAGAGATCCACTTTGTCACGAAGTCGAAAATCACATTCTTGAAATTATAAAAGATGAAGAGCATGAAAAGATGTTTCTATCTGATGTCATCTTCCTCTGTGCTATTTTATCAAACTTCATGTATTGTTCATATAGTACAAGGTCTGTCCTTTTCGATTTAAGGTTTGCATGATTCAGTCTTAGTCTTAGTGATTGTCTCTGATAATGATGTTAATACATTGATTTCCATACTGGTATATCATCGGCAGGGAACTGATTATTGGCATTATCTTTTTGCCCTCTGCTTTTAAGTTTCATCTCTTGCTTGCAATGGAATGGCTTCATTAATCTTTCTATTTGTGTTGGCTTCATGTGCTGTTCACTCTTAGGCTAGGAGAAGAAATTGTGCCTTGCCTTGCCACTCTGAGTCAATATGTGTCGAAGTTGTTGGATCGAGCTGCTTCTATCTTAGAGAAAAGTTATGACGACCTCGTTTGTGGTTTGTCGGGTTCAAGGTCAATATTTGACACAATTGGGACCATTCGTGTGTCCTTTGAAAGCTTTCTATGCTCCCCATTGTTTAATGAAATGCAAAATGACAACAGCATAGACGTCCTAGCTGCAGTAATTCAATCTGTGGAGAGGATTCTGAAGGTTCTTGCTAAACTGTATGAAGGATCCTCGAGTAGTGGAAGTAATTTTCATTCAAAGAGGGACGACCTTGACTCTTCTGCATCTGTTTCTAGTCACGATTCTCATCCAGTAAATAGCCGTACTAGTATGATCATGGACATGGAGTTGGATGTGAACATTAGTTCCAAAGATACTGATGCTGTAAAAATTGGGGGAAAAGCTACTGCCGAAATATTGGCTTCGTCTGTAAATCAGAGAATGGAAGTCGTATCGATCATCACAAAGTTCTTTTCAGCTTTACCATTTCATACATGGGATGTCATGTTTGAGCTCATGGAGAAAGAAAGTGATCCAAGGGTAATCTTATTGGAATTTTTTGTCCTGGAATTGTTTCTTGATGATATTGCATTTTGTTGAGTATTTTGCGAACTTTTGATTTTTAATTAGGTCCTGGAAGTAATCATACATGGCCTTTGTCAACATCCTCATTGGTCTTCCAGCAGAAAGTTCTTAAATTTGGTAATGTGGCTTTTGATGTTTATTTGTCTTAGTTATTGTAAGTTATTTATGCTTTTGAAAACTCTGATAATTACTTAGTTCTTCTTTTCTTTACAGGTTACATCCTTAAATGATTTCCTAGACATTCAGGCAAATCTCAAGGTCCAGTCTCTGAATGTGCTAGCTGCCATCTGCAGTTTGTTGGAGAGTCTTTTATCCCTTGATGATGTTGCAAAGTTCAAAAGAAGGACTCTGTCTTCACGGGAAAAATTATCTGAAGAGGTATAATAGGTGTATCTTAGATTTTTCTGCATATTACACGGTGCTAAATGTAGTTCTAGTTAAACCAAGTTATGTATTCGAAAGCAAGTTCCTATATAACATGCTCCTTAGAGCTCTTTCCTGCAGTGTACACTGGTAATACTTCTCCGCATGTTTGCTTTTACCATTTTAAGGCCTTTTCAGATTGTATAGTACGCAAAATTCCATTCTTATCAAGTAAAATTCGGTAGGATGAAATAATACAGACAATTCGGATAGGAAGATACTTAATGGCTGCAGGGTCAACAAGTTTGGACCTCTTTTAGCGAATAGTTCACAAACTTACAATAGGTTACAACAAGGATTCTGAAGTTTCAGGATTCTTACTGCTATTTATATTTAAAATTGAAAATATGCCTTAAAAGTAGAAGAAAAGAAAATGCCACATATGAGATTTACCAGTAAAAGAAAAAGCTGAAGGATACCGGTCTCATGGTTTCAGCCAAGGCAATTTAAACATTGGTTGGCATGAAATGGAAGAATATCTATCAAAGATAACCTGCCAGAACTTCCTCCTGACAAAAGTGCTGGTTAATTTAATGCCTCTTTTTTCGTTCTTCCTCTGAAATATATGCTCCTTTACAGTCTAAACTGCTAGATCTGTGATGCAGCTTAATGTCTTATTCACATAACGTTTTAGTATTTTTTTCTTTCAATCGGGAGTACTTCTCTACTTTCTTGAACAATAGAATCTCTTTTTTTTTTAACAAAGCTTTCTCAAATTGCATGTCCTGTGAAATGGAAGTATAGGGCTTGATTTCTCTTGGAGACCTGGTGAACAAAATTGCAGACAGCGACCTCTTTGATTGGGTTGGCCGGACCAAGCTTATTGATTGCATTTGCAATTTCATTTTAGTGGATCCTCAAATTGGTCAGGTATCATCTTCTAAAATCTTGATAAAGAAAGATTGGAACGAGATCACTTTTCCTTTTTGTCTAGTTTCAGTTTAAATTTTTGATCTACAAAAACATATTCTCTTTCATGATACCTGCTTCAAATTTGAGCAGTCTATGATTGAAAAGCTGATGTTGATGCTTCGGGATCCTGATTATCGAGTTAGGTTATGCTTCGCTCAACGAGTTGGTGTGCTTTTCCAAACTTGGGACGGTCATTTTGAACTATTCCAGGACATATGGTACGATGCTTGGTTTTCTTTTGCTTTTTGTTGCATTATTACCTTTTTAGTCTGTCAAACTAACTGATTGGCCAGACATAACTTTTCCTAATAAATCTCAAGTGAGCATGGTTATCACACAGTCAATTATATTTTTGCATAGAGTTGTTTGAAAGTTACTCAAAAGTTGATTGAAGACAATGTTCATAAAAAAGGTCACTCAAAAGTTTAATAAGACAAATTACTGTGAATTTGCATGGGTAGCCTTTCTAACTTAGCGCATGTTATAAGTCTTCCCTACTTAAATTAAGTACTTGGGCATGTAACTTTGGTTGGAGTAAAGCATGGACCCCAATTTGTTTTATGCTGCTAAATAGAAATAAGATATTGATTGTAATCTTTGCCTGGAGAATCTACAAACTATTGCATCTACCCCTTTAAAGAGCCCTACCATTTTTTTGAAGCAAGCACATCTGCTTACAGCTAAAGAAAATATATGCAGATTGAAAGCTTTTTACAATGATTTCCTAAATCTACTGTTATTCATCTTTTGTTTGTTGAAATAGTAATTTTCCTTTCCCCTGATTTGATAAAATCTTTTCAATTAATTTTGTAATGCCTAAATGGGTCTATGGAATTAGAAAAGGAAGATTCAAATAAAATTTGGGTTGAAGTCCTTGCTTATTTTGAATCAAGGAGACATGACTGAGCGGAGGGAAGTCTATTTAATGTTTGTTTATCTTTCACTTATCAGGAATTATGAGTTATCATTTATTAGCATTTGTCAGATTATCTTTATCTCCTAGGCAAGGTTTCACTGCCATTTCCATCTGCAAAGTGGATCCAATAAGGCTTTCTATGCTTAATTTTACATTTAGGTAGTTTTTGGGGGCCTAGGAGGGGAAGGATATATCACTCGATATCATTACTCACTGCTCAACACTCAACAAAGGGTGATTTGGCACAATTGAAGAATAGCCTCTTATCCCTTATTTCTTGTTGGTGCATCCATGAGGGTCCTTTATGTATTGTAGATTGGATGTCGTTCTTAGGAAACCATGGGTGTGTTTGGTATGAAGGAAAATGTTTTCCAAGAAAAAGTTGTCTCGGAAAATGAGTGGTTTTATCACTTATTTTCTTTTGTTTGTTTAGTGAGTGAAAAATCTTTTCTGGAAAATAGTTTCTAGTGTTTGGTCATAGAGTAGAAAATAGTTTTTAGGAAAATACTTTTTTATACTACTCTCC